ACTAGTCACCACTTAAATCAGTTTCCAATTGCTATCCATCCTTCTCATGTCGGCTTCCCATTCCCGACGTGGTGTGTTCTTCAGCCTTCCTCTATTCCGTTCCCTTCAGGATTCCAAGTTAACGCTTGCATCGTGATGCACTTTGATGATTTCCTCAATGTATGTCCTATCAACTTCCATCATCTTTTCCTAATTTGCTCTTCAGCTCGAAGCTGGTTTGTTCTCTCCCACAATAGGTTGTTGCTGATGGTTTCCGGTCAACGGAGATTAAGTATCTTGTGTAGTAAATGTTTTGTAAATACTTGTGCACTTTTGATGATGGTTGTAGTAGTTCTCCACGTTTCAGCTCCATACAGTAGAACTGTCTTAACATTCGTATTGAAGATTATGACTTTGTAATTGGTTGACAGTTGTTTTGATTTCCATATGTTCTTCAATTGTAGAAATGCTGCTCTTGTTTTTCCGATGCTCTCCTTTACGTCTGCATCAGGTCGTCCGTGTTCATCGATGATGCTGATCCGGTACGTGAAAGTTTCCCCCTTCCAGAGTTTCTCCATCAAATGTGATTTCGTTAGTGTTCTGTGTTGTATTTGAGGATGTTGCTTTTTCGTTTGTGTATGTTGAGGCCTACTGATGTAGAAGCTTTTGCAACACTGGTTATCTTGATCTGCGTTTGTTCGTATGTATAGGATAGAGCATCCAAGTCCAAATCGTCGAGCTCCATTCAAGCTATCCACTGTGTTTCGTGTTTCCGCTGAGATGTAGAGGTCTTAATGATCCAGTTAACCACCTGAAGAGAGAGAAAGGTTGAGAGACAGTAATCAGTCTTGTCTGACTCCGGTCCTCACTTCGAATGAGTCTATTAGTTGTCCTCCATCCACGACTTTACAATACCTCAGGACGATTTATGGCCATTTACTAAAAGCCTGTAAAATTTTTGTGGTAACATTATCAAGAAGCACAAAATAATGCCTTAATTTTGACGTTTTTAACTGACTGGTTATGTAGTAACAGAATTACGTTTTCTAATAAACGTCTGTGGACTTTACATGCATTAATTCTTGACCGTCATTTGGTTGTCGCAACTCAAACTCCATAAAAGCAGTAGAATCTTACTAACAACCACGTCTTTATGTACGATAATTTGGTTTAAAGGTAATGCTTTCTCCGTTAGGTTATAGTTGCTAGGTTTGGTTATGTGTTTGCATTGATGTCCGTTGATGATTCTCATATTACTGCCCTCTAGGTTTTCCACTGATTACCAACTCTGAAGTAAGCTCTCAATAATTGAAAAGCAGCGACTTTGTGGTGTCGGTTATTATGTTAAACCCATATACTTTATTCTAGCTTACGGACAGCCCATTATATTCATCCTACTTGAGTTACATTCTGACCTTGTTATTTGATCGCTTGACCATTTTTAAATGAGCGCGTAGGTGTGTGCACATTTCTTATCCTATTACTCATCACATGTCTGTAACTTACTTTTGTGTGACTATAAATATTGATTAACGCTTGGTTGAATGGGAGTTGGCTTACCGGCCATCTCGACTGCGCATAGTTTCGCTTTGCTCTATTCCATTTGAATTATTTACAAAATATATGCATTCGAAGTCCATTCTCGTTATTCGACTTATTTAATTCCGTTATTGACTAATGCGATTTTGAGTCGATGATGATATACGAGGATAAGCGATAACAAACATTTATACGATCTAATTGCAGTCAGATCCACATGCCACTAAAGTGGAGAGCCCATCAACAAATATCGTCCGATCTAAATGAGGACAAAATAAAGGGCCCCACAACTTCCGACATGCAAGATGTTTTCGGCAAATAAAAATATTTAGATCGTGCCAATTATACATTTATTTTTTATTTTCACGAGCAATTAACTATTTCAAATTCTATATGCATATACAAAGATATACTGATTGATAATACGTTTACACTAAACGATCACTAGGCAGTGAATAATGTCCTGTTGTTTAGTCCTTTGTGCATACGGAATTTTATTGGTGAAGTTACAGATCGCCAGCTTTTCTACGTGAATCAATGTCCTACTGACAAATATAACAAATAATGAGTCCTAGATTTAAGTTTGATTTTAAAGAACAGTTTTAGGCGAAGCACATTTACAATTTCAAAGAAGCGATACTCCAAGTGGAGTGAAAACTCACATAAGGAATTTTTTGACCGAATTCTCCTCTTTTTTGGCGTAAATAGTCAAACACAACACTGAAAACTGTGATCTTAGTATCGCCCTTGAAAATTTTTATTTTTATTTCATGCAATTAGTTACCTTTGTGAATGTAAATGAAGCCAGAACAAATATTGATGCAGAATAGCATAAGTTAATTCTACTTCGAGGTTTCTCGTCAGCTGATTACGACCAACCTGCAATCGCTAGCCAGATTAGATTAAACGATCCACGATATATTGATAGCCCATCAAATATATCCTCGAACCTCCTCGCTTCTGTCTTTTGATTTCCCTTGATGGGTACGGTTCATATTAGAAAGTGTTACCGGTTAAAGCGTTGTCAAATTTCAAATACCGGTGGCACCTTCAATATATATATATATATATATATATATATATATATATATATATATATATATATATATATATATATATATATATATATATGCAAGAGCATGTCAGAGGTTATTTGGTTTTAGAATCAAGGAAACATTAAGGAAGGGTGGTGTAATGGTGGAGTGAATTTCAGAGACAGATAAGATATATCGTGTGATTATTTTAAAGATAATGAAGGGTTCATGGAATTGAAAAGTGATAAGATGTGTTACGTAATGATTGAATAGAATTCGAAAAGTTCACATAATTTAAGAGGACTAAATGAGCGGAAATGTCTGAATGAAAGGATGGTTTAAGAATGAGGTAATGGGAGAGGAATATAACACAAACTTAATATTTTAATAGATAAATAAAATGACGTAAATAACCAAACAACAAAAACAAACAATTGGATTATCAGGGTAATAATAAGTTTATCAGTCTCTTTCTGGATACATAAATCCAGTTTAAGTTTCTTTATCGCCATTGACTCAGCAAAACGGAGAGCAGCCGTACTTCTTTGTCTACTGAAAATTTTAATAGCATGTAGGATGTCTATGGTATACCCGGTATCAAGTAAATGCCGGGCTATTGCACTGTTGAGAGCCCTAGTCCCTCTCAGCCTCAATTTCTTTAGAACATGCTCAGAAATGCGAACAAGTACTCTTCTCTCACTTATTCCAATGTATGTGCTTTGGCACGTACATGTAAATTGGTAAATGCAGTTGAAGCTACTGAGAAAAGAGAAACACTCAATTTTAGTTTGTTTGAGCAATCAGTTCGTTTCCCATACCACCGTGAGTTTTGATGCTGTGTAGGTCGCTTTCAACGCGGAATTTGTTCTAAGACTGATTATCCCAGTAATTTGATCTCATTTGAAGCGTAAGTATAAGAAGCAAGTTTTCTTTTTCACTATATCACGATTTACCCGAGGGTTGCTATTTGAATATTTATGGATGAATTTCGCCGGATTTTCACGTGAGCAATTAGTGATATGAGCACTTTCTTCTTCTAGGCATTCCTTTGAGCATATTTTACGTGCGCGGTCAAAAAGGGTTCGTACACTACGCTTTTTGTAACTCATTGGACAGAAGGTGTAGAAATTGAGATAAACTACACTCCATGTATTTTTGCGATGAATGTGTTATTGTAATGAAATATCTGATGTTCGTCTGATTCCAATATCTAAGAAATGAACTTTACCTTCAACTCCATGTTCCGTAGTATATTCTATATCTTTGTGTGCTTTACTAAACAGACTGCTTAACATTCTGCAATCTTAACAAATATAAGATTTTCAGTATATCAATGATCACAAAGTTTTACACTGGCTAATCAGAAAGCGTTCCCTTCGTTCTACGATACAAAATCACTGTGCTGAATAGGTGCATAGTACATTGCATCCACAGAATCGGACAATAAACTTAAATATTGATCCTCCAATAAGTTAAAACGCAGTCGATAAGGTCTAAATTTTAAGCAACTCTACTTCCAAACAGTTAGATAAATGGAAATTAAAAAAGGACTATAACGGTCTAGAACGAAAATTGAAATTTGAGGTGGATAACTGCCTTTTCTATTCACTAAATTATACATATGAAATAGTTTTATTTACCAGACATTTTGAGGCTTCAACATTTTAACGAAAGTCAAACTATTGGGAGATATAAAAAATTCATCAAATTATCCTTAAGACATGCTTTTGATGTTGGCTCAATACACTAGCGTCCCGTTTCTCTTTCTTTGTCAATTTAGTTATAAGGATCATCTCTGACCCATCGCGTGATAGTTTAATCTTTTTCTGGACAAATAATTTCGCTTAGGATTTCAATTCTGGACTGTTTCGTTTTGGGTGAAATTGAAGAGACTCGTTTATTTGGATTTACATAGTGAACATCGGTCGTATGGTAGAATCATAAAACTCTCGATTGTTTCTTTTAAGAAGAACAGTCAAGTTATACACTCGATGAAGTCTGCTTCCATATGATTTTGCAGGTTTAAATGTCTCAGCAAGCATAACCTTGGTGAAGAACCTTTTACCCAGATGAAAAAACTTATTATTATTATTATTTGCGGTTGTGGATTCATCTCTGAATTCTTCGTTTTACCTCTGACCGATTCGGAAATCTGTTTTCTCTTATATTAGATTCTGGGATTAAATATGACCGAAAATTCACTAAATCACGAGTAGGACGAAGTGAATGCTAGACATTTTCTGTAAATACTAGATACGAATCCCCTTCATCACCTTACAACCCAGAAACAACTTTGAAACAGTCTACAAACTAATTTATTCATTATAAAATGCCAGTCACATTATTCAGATCTGCAGCCAACTTTAATGCCATAAATGAATAACACCAAACCACTTTATGACAAGTTCAATACACAACAATCGAAGAATTAACGAAAAGACAAAAGCTATAGAAATAAGTTTGTCTTCCTTCTCTTATCGATTACATAATGACAGTAAACCATTTTCATTGTTATTTAATCTCTTTAACATCTGCAAATGAGGTAGGATCAAATGATTTATCTAACATGAAAGATGTAATCAATTTGGTCACTGTATTTGGAGCGTCAAAGTGAACCCAATGACCGGTGTTAGCAATCTGAACAATTTTTGCTTGAGGGAAATATTTGCGTACAGATGGTAAATCTGATTGTCTGAACATTATAAAGAACAATGATATAAAAAGAACATTTTAATGAAAAATCAACAATACTGATTACATTTTATGGGACACGAAAACGTGAATTTGTGATGATACTAAATTCAGTTCAAAACATAAAGTCAGTTGAACGGAGAAATTTTGTTCAGTAAATTTAGTTTCAATGTAGTAAAATTAAAATCATGTGCATACATTTTGGTGGACTTTAGTAATATACTTGCTAGTCACACTGATTTATTAAACATACTGATTAAAAAGCATGACAAAATTAAAATGAAGTAGTTGCATATTTTGTGGAGACTAGTCCAAGTTGAAAATATTTCCTGATCATTGATCGACATTAGCTAGAGAACAATTGAAAATAAAAAAACACAGGACAGCTCTTCTTTTTTGTTGTGGATGCGGAAGGATATACCAATAATTATCATGTTAAGTCCAATGGTGTCCTTGGACTTTAAATGGACATTTCCTATTGGTCGATATCTGTCCACTTGTTGAATATTGTACAAATGTTGTTTTCTATTTTTATGGTACGATGTGGTATGTTTGGTTAGTATATAAATAGAGTATGTCTGAAATACAATGATTCATAACTCAGAGGCTGAGATTTGTGTTTTGGACTCGACTGGCTGGGATAGACAGGGAAGTGGAACCAATCGGGACTCTAGGTCGTCCATTACGTTCGTACGTGTTTACGTGTCATTGAATCGATCGATAAATACGCTGTTCTCTAGTTTTTTCAGTCAAGGACACAACAGTTAGCACAGGGTAAAAATTGACCCAACTTAAAGTCACAACATTTTTTATTTTTGAGCTCCTTAACAATAAGCCCCCCCCCAATTTTATATGAGGTCAAATTGAGAACTTTTAAATATGGCAACGAACACTTAACCTTTGAAACACTGAATTAGGATCTAATAATATACGTTTCAAACTTCAGTCAATTCAAGATATAGTCTGATGAACATCTGATACCATACAAAGTATGGTTAAACTCTACTAGTTACAACTTTTCACCAGAATTTTGGGAAAGCATCATGGTCTCAAGCAAGGATATAATATGGGACAGCGTTAACTGTACGAATATGTTGAAGCGGTGGCTTAGTAATTAAGACATGCGACTTTCGGTCGCAGGTTAGAGACCCCACTCCGCCTACTTTGTTATGAGTAACTGGATAGTATTATTGGAACGACTACTTGGATTATAACTAATAACCAGGCACCTGGTAAATGAGTTATTTAAACTAAAGATTATATAAACATGTGTTGTTTTTAAATTTTCTTCATACCATTAACCGATATAACGCATCACTTCAAAATATAATTTTGTCAAAAACGATATTTTTATTTAATATTAAACCATTGATTTCCACTGTAAAACAAGGATGCGTTATCAGTCGAAAAATCAATTATTCGTAAACAAATATTTATGACAATTTTAGCAAGTCTTCACGGAAAGTTATATTTTAGAAATTCAAAATTATGCAATTACAAGTTAAGAAGACTTACCCTAAATACTCTCCATTGCTTGCTGCAACAAACATCACAGGTTGGTTGAAAACACGACCACTCAATTCTGCAGGAAAGTCTGTTATCTGATTCCAACAGCTTTTAATTGCCTTAAGATTCACCTTCCAAAATATTTCTCCATCTTTTTCTCCAAGATTTGTTAGAAGAAACGCGCGCATTGTAGGATTCTACTCAAAATAAAACTCAAAAATTTAATGACTTATCTTAAATTATGACATTCAATTAGAAAACTGCTTTTTGTCAAGAAAGAAATTTCTGAATATTAATATACAAGAGACAGACAGGTGCTACTTAAGACATAAAATAAGGGAGTCAAAACAACATGAATTTGTGATGTAGATTGAGTTGATTTATGGACAACTCTAGACCTCGATCTTATGTGTAATACTGAGTACCGACAAACACAAAACTAGTTTACAATTTCCTCTTGACTACATACACATTAAATATCAAATGTGATACACTGAGTGACCTACACTTGACCAGGTCGTATAAACATGATAAACAGAATACAGTTGATAATAAGGATTAACTAATGTTATTTACCATTAGATGGTTTATAAATAGGAAACGTTAAGTATCTTAAAGTTCATAACAATACACAAGAGCTAATATGAATAGGCCAAGGGTGGGAATAATCCACTCTCCCTCTTGAAATACTCTCACGTGGCCACGCGCATACAACCACTGCCAAGAAAGTCCTACTCACTGCCTTCTCGTGGCGAGGGTATTGTTTACGAAATTCAGAGGACGAAAAGCGAATGCCCAGCGCTTTAACCGGCTTCGTGAACACGGAGGATCCACCTAGAGGAGTTGAGAAACCTTTACTCCAAACCAATAGTGCACATGGGCTCCAGGATCCTGAGGGAACAAATGGCGTATGGACCAATGGTTGGCCACCGGCTACCATGGGACTGGATTTCCTGAAGTTGCTCCACTGCCTTGTGGATTAGACCTTTAGGTCAAAGGCTCCGGATGTGGCCCTCTAAGAAAATCACCTGCTTCGATCTAGGCACCCGGGCAGTATCACAACTTGTGTGGCGCATATGTATTCGGTGCACCTTTGTACCAATATTTATGTGTTCATATAAATAAATAAATACGTCAATATCTTCCGCCACAAGTTAAGGCAATACTAAACGAATGAACTTCCGTCAACACAATTCAGCCGACAGAAGAGAAAGTTCAATAACAGTAAGAAACCGAGTTAACAAACGATGAATTCTGTTATCCCCGTAGTTAAACAGATAGCACATAGGACAAAATCAAGTTTCCCATACCCATTCATCAAATATTATGATGGAAATTATGGACTTATATGTGCCGTTTGGATATATAGGCACAAAGGAACTTCATGTTTATGGCTAACGATGGCTTGTTGGTTGCATTTCAAATGACGTAAAACGTGTTTTAGAGTTCCGAACAGATTAGTCCAATTATTTCCAGTTCCAAAACACGATAGAGATATTGCTGATGTAATACATACAGTCTTCTCTTTGCAACTCAAAATGGACTTAAGTAAGTCATATTCCAATCAAAAATCAATTATCCTGATGAATACAAACTTTGGGTTTCTTTTAGACGTCATCTGGATACTAACCATAATTTCTTATGCACCAAACTCTTACAATTAGCAGATCGATATATTTTTACTCCTACATGAATTTACCTAATCAAATCAGTCGCAACTCAATGGTTAACATAGCCAGGTATGACGTTGGCTGCCATTCAACTGGAAAAGTCATATGATGATTGACTGAACTCACAAGACACTGTGAAAATCGTGAGCAAAGTCTATTTTAGCCCTGTAGATTGTTCCACCTCAAAATGTAAGCTGTCATTCGAATAATATGTCGGATAATAACATATCAATTCGAAACCATAAATTACACTTCGGACACTAAGATTCCAACAGGGTGTTTAGGTGCTGTTCATGTCGACGCAGAAAAGTGTCTACAAATTAGGATGTGTCGACTGTGATGTCTTTTATATTGAAAAGTCATCTCAATAAATCATGACCCGAGCTAAAGAACATCTTGAATACACAAGGAAACCACCTAATAATCACTTAGGACTGGTAAGGCTCCAAATTAGATCGGCGATAGCAGTTCATGACATTTTCAATAACCATTACATCGATATTAAAAATACAAAAATAATAGAAAAAGGCTTTTTCAACTACAAAAAGGCGAGTAGCCGAAGCTTTCCGAAAATTAATTAATCCTACTTCCCTCAGTAGAGATCTTACTATTTATTCGACTTGGACATCTGCCCAAGCTACAATGTCTGGTCCTATTCACATCTCACACTATTATCTTCAGTCTTCAGTAATAAGGATAGTAGGTTGATGAACCTGTGTTAATCCTGACAGATGGCTTTCCAGTGAGGGTCCAGCTTCTCCTTGAAAATATTTACTGGTGGGGCTGATACCACTTGTTCGGGTAAGGCGTTCCAATCACTGACTAATCAATGAGAAATCCAACTCTATCTTTTCACATCACAAACGTCACATTTTTCGTTCATTAACATGTACAAAAATACACAAACACGTCTCACATAAAACACCTTAATTGGAATGACATGTCATTCACTTGATCAGACCTGTGTTTGTATTGATCGCACTAAATATTTTAGCCTTGTTTCTTTGTACTATTTAAACCTGGGTTATTTGATTTGTTTATTCATTCTCTGAGGAAGCGGCTTACACCGAGTGACGAAATGTTAGAAATGTAAGTTGAAGTTTTCTATGTATTATTTAAGTTACAACTATATCATTATTTTGCAATAATAGTATATATTTTTAACGACCAGAACGCATTAGGAGTTAGATTAAGTTGTTTTGTTGAAGAAAGCGACATCAAAACCGTACCATGCAAGTATTTGAAATTCAGTATTGTTCTGAAGTCAAAATTCATTAATTTATAACTATAGTACTACTCTTAACCGTCATATATCCAATAAAAAATATACGCAAACTGTGATTGTGTTGATCTATAGCACATTTTCCGAATAAATATTCAGTTTCTGCTCAACCATATTTCTAAACGTAAAACTTTGGGACTTTCTGTAGCCAAGTTTATTCTTCAGAAACTCACTGAGCGGTTATCACTCAATTTTGAACACGTGCTGGCGAATCATAGGCAAACCAACTTGGCTTTGAAAATTACTGAATGGAAGAGGTTTTTTACTTACCGGGATTGTTTTATCCCATTCTTTCATTAATGAATTTCGGACCATTCCTATATTCCCATTATTTTTGTGTCCCAAAGCTTTCAAATCCACAGAAGACATTAGATCTATTATAGGTGTAAGAGATTGTATAGTAGGTTTTGGTGTCGTGGATATGTCAAATACAACCAACTTATCATACCTTTCTGGCTGGCTAATAATCATTTAAAAGATAACTACTTTCATTAGAGCTGCGCACATAACCGCTTTGCCGCCCATACTATGGCCAACCAAGCATACACTCCGCAGGCTGAGGTCATCTACAACCATGTGTATATCTTCTGCCATATTAAAATAGTTCATATCATCGGAATGTGGGCTACTTCCGTGATTACGTAAATCAACGGCCACAATCTATTAGTGAACGACTAAGATTTATACACTTACAGTTCCACAGTTTTTCAGGGATAACGCATTAGAAATACTCTTCCAATTATTCTTGGAACCCAATAAACCATGGCAGATCACCATACTAGATTTAAGCGAGGAATCAGCTGACTGCAAAACCGAACGAGATAGCCGCAGCGCGTTATTCATTTTGGCGAACAAATGGTACAAACGGTTCAAGAGTGGTTCAAATACTTCAAGATGGAATAGAAGAAGCTATTGCATAACGGGCCTCCGTATCTAGTAGTGGTGCACCGACAATACTTCCAGGCAGGAACCAAGTTATATTAACGATAATAGAGGGAGAGAAAAAGAAATTGGTAGATCATAGTTCAAATGGTTCAAATGGTTGTGGATGGAATAGAAGAAGCTTTCGCTTAACAGGCTTCCGTGTTTAGTAGTAGAAGATTACCAAATCCTTCAAGCAGGAACCTAGGTATGTTAACAAGAAAACAGGAAAAGAAATTGATAAATCATAGTGCGATACTATCCTTAGTCCTTAAGAATAGATCAAGTTGCCTCTAAAAGGACTCTTTGAAAGTCGCTTGGACTAGCTCGGCCGGCAGTGAATTTTAGTATTTGACAACTCTTATGATGTGGAAGTGGTGTCTACATTCCGTTCTGCTATGTTGTGTCTCCAGGTTTTGGGTGTTACCCCTTAGGTTAGTGTTGGAACTAAGCTTAAGTAGGTGTTTGAGAGGATATCCAGAAATGTTAAGGATACTATAGGCCATCAGAATGTCACCTCTAAGACGTCTGTACTCTAATGGGTAAAGGTTAAGTGAATTTGAGTCCTCTAACTGATTTCGTGGTTCGCCGTTGAATACGCTCCAGGGTGGCCATATCCATTTGGAGTGAGGGGGGAAATACTACGTTTCCGTACTCAAAATGGAGACGGATAAAACTATTGAAGATTATATGGAAAGTTCTTCCGTCAAACTGGTCAAAAATGCACTTCAGTGTTATCAGTGCAAGGTTTGCTCGGAAGGCATTTTTGTCACAGTTAGCGTAAGACTTTAAATCGTAAGGCACCAGGACTCCTAAATCTTTTTCGACTTAGAATACTACTAGAGAGGAGTGACCTAAGTTATAACTGTAGTTTGCGACATGTCGCAGATTGACTACTTTACACTTTGAAGTGTTAAAGGTAAGTCCGTTATCGTCTGCCCAACTTTGAAGTCGAGTCAGATCCTCCTGGAGTGCCTGTATATCGTTTTGGTTGTGTATCTCTCTCCAAAGTTTCACGTCGTCAGCAAAAAGTAATAAGTCTGACATCACCTTTCGAGGAAGATCATTTATGTAGATCAAGAAGAGAAGAGGTCCTAGTACTGAGCCCTAGGGGACCCCACTAGGACATTCCATAGCCTGAGATAAAGTGAAGTTAAACCTGACCTTAAAATGTTGATTTTTCAGGTATGAAATGAGCCAATCGATTAGAGGTGGTCTGATACCCAATCGTTTGAGCTTATTGATAAGACATGTATGGTTAACTTTATCAAAAGCTTTTGAGAAATCTAGGTAGATGATATCAACCTTCTCCTTGTGTTCAAGGATGTTTCTCCATCTGCTCATCGCAGTCAGCAGGTTGGTAATACAAGAGTAATCCTTCCTGAAACCGTGCTGTTCGTGTGAGAAGAAATTTAAGGACAGTAAACAGTCGTTTATACCATCACATATCAGGGATTCCATGATTTTTGAAGGTATGGAGAGAAGAGCCACCGGTCGGTAACTTGAAGTTTCGCTTCGTCGACCTCCTTTGAAAATTGATGTGATGTGAGCCAGCCTCCAATTTTCCGGTAGTTTTCCTCGACTTAGCGAGTGCGAAAACATCATGCTAAGCGGCGTTGCCAAGATTGAGGCAGCTTCCCTCAGTATAGCGGAATGGACCATGTCCGGGCCAGGAAAATTGTCTAATCTTAAGTGCTGCAGTTTCCGGAACATCAAGTCAGCGCTTAGGTTCACTTCGGAAAGTCCTGTGTAATTGCAAACGAAAATGTCATCAGTAAAGTTAATGTCGGTCGGTTGAAATGTCTGGGAGTGTTGTCCAGCCATAAGGTTAGTGGCGTCTCAATCGTTGTTGGTCGAGCCGTTAAGACCTACCAGTTGGGAAACTCCTGTTTTGGCTTGACGAAGAGAAGCTGCATAACGGAATAGGCTTTTAGCATTAGAAATTTTCACAGATTTAAATCATGAGTCAGTTGAAGCTAGACCACCATTGAAAACCTGGAAGCATTAGAGGCAAGTTTGCCCATAAGCTTTGTCTGGTACTGGAGCCTATCTTATCTTATAGCCTTCGTGCATATGTTCCTGATATGTTTATATCGCCTACACGCTCCGTCGTTGTCAGTTCGTTTGTACTCAGCCCAACAGTGCCTTTTGCGGCTTAGCAGGCGAAGGGTACTGTTCTTGATTATTTTAGGTGGTTTGCAACTTTTGGGAACCGTTTGAGGAACTGAATGGTTTGTACCACGTAAGAGCGTGTGCTGTAAGAAGTCCCAATGCCCGTCCACGTCGTGTTGGGGGTGAACATCCCAAACCACCTGTCGTAGATAGTCGTGTAGAGCTGGCACATTCAACCGTTTAAAATTCCAACGCGAGATATTGGTGGAGTATCTTAGCTTAGTTTTGCTGACAAAGCTGAAGGCTATGATGGCATGATAATTTTTTACAGGGGAGCCAAGAGTGAGAGGTTGTCAACTAGAAATTCTTCGTTTGTGAATACAGAGTTTAAGCGCGATGTTGTCTGACTGTTTCTCCAACGAGTTGCCGACCTCACATTTTTGTATAATCCTAATTCATCGATGAAGTTGAAGAACCGAGCTTCAATTGATTTATCGCCTCCAGCATACGTGTGATCCGCGAAGTTGACTCTAGGGAGATTAAAGTCCCCTAGAATCAGGATGTGTGTGAAACCGAGACGAGTAGAGTGGGATAGTCTTTCCAGCATATGACTATCGTACTCGATGTCGGCAGTTGGCTTCCTGTAAATGACTCCGACTAGACACCTCGAAGTACTGGACAAGCTTACAGAGCACCATCTAGATTCCTCGAGATTGTTAAACTCGAGGTTATGAACTTGATGCACCTCCAAGCAAGAACGTATGTAAACAGATACTCCACCCCCCATATCCTGATTTTCTGTCATTGTGGATAAAAGACATCCCAGGTAATGCTAACTCATGGTACGAGAATTCAGAAAATATCCAGGTTTCAGATATTCCTATCAAATGGGCCTTATTAGCATTGCTAAATTCACGTAGTTCATCCAGTTTGTTTGGTAGACTCGCGGCGTTCATATATAAACAGTTTATACTTTCGATTTGGAACGCGTGAGATTATTCCTGTTTGTCTTTATGAGCCTTACGTGAATGGACAGGTAGTCCACCTATATGAGGTTTGCTGAGGTGGTAGGCCCTGTCCTTTACACGTTTTTTTGTCGTCTAGACAGTTCACAAGTGGAATGGTCAGCTCCAACTTGCCTTTGTGTTTGGTTCTAGCTTCGTATGGCCTATCCGGGTGCATGTGGATTCCAGGTGGCAGTCGAAGTCTGTTGGCACGAAATGCTTCCAGAGTTGCAGCCGCCATATGTGAAGATGGTAAGGTTATCTTCATTAGACGGGCTCTAGAATCACCATCATTCTTGGCTAGTTCCGTCACATGTTGAGTCAGTATGTTTCTGAGCCTCAAGGTCTGCTTGATGAATTTCCATTCACTGATGTCAGTCTTTGATTGAGTAGGGTCTGTATTTTCTGGTATACCTTGCACGATTATATTCCTTCAGCGGAAAAACTGATCGCGAGTTTCTTTGGGGATGTTCCGGATGAGATTGCGCTCAGAGTACGGTATATCAGGCAGTATTCTTACATTCCCATCTGACTTCAGTAAATAACTCACTAGTAGGACATCCTCAACGTCGGTAGCATTCTTAAGCGTTACGCGAAGTAGCCTCGGGTGATTTTGATGCTTAGATTCATTGCCCCGAGTGAGCCGTGTGACTGTCAGAGGCTCTATTCTTGGAAGTCCAAGTTTCTTTTTCAATTCTCCCCAGAGGATCCTATCGTTTTGTCCTGCAAACTGAGAGGAAGGTCAGTGTTGTCTTTGAAGTTCATGACTATGAGAGAGACCTCACGAACCGTTATTGTCGTCCCGAGTTTTTCTCTGTGTTCAGGTTTAGCACCTTGTTGTTTGGGGTCCGGAGCACGTTTATGAATCCTTGGCTCTTTGATGACCGGACAGACAATCTTGGGGGTAGAATGTGCGACCAGACCACCAGTTGACTTCCGTTCAACAGCTGGGATGTTCAACTTAGACTGTGACGCCTGGCCCTTCTTAGCTCTTTTCACATGGTTCCAATCACGTACAGAGTTTTGGGGAACGACTGTCGCGTTCAAGGACCTTGAGCTGTGAGATCTGAGTTTGCTGAGGCAGTGGAGGACCGTCGTTGTAATCATGGTGCAGAGTTTCAGTGTGTCATCATCAATGTTGTTGCATGCTCCGTCGTTGGTAGACCTGTCAACATCTCTGTTCTCTTTTTTAATGCGCTCTCTTTTTTTCTTTTTAGGCAACTTCGTTCTAGAGGTATCCTAGGTTGAAAAGATCTAGGAGTGTTGCTGCCTTACGATTTAATGTCTTACGCTAACTGCGACAAAAGTGTTTGTCGAGAAAACCTTGCACTGGTAACATTGAAGCGATTTGCGGCCAGTCTGAAAGTAGAACTCTCAACATAGTTTTCAACAGTTTTATTCGTCTCTATTTCGAATACGGAAGCATAGTATTTCCTCCCTCTCTCTAAAAGGATAAGGACACTCTGGAACGCCTCGAACGATGAGCCAGGAAATCATTTCGGGACTCAATTACAAGCCTTATGAAGAGCGTCCCCAACCACTGAACCTCTACCGAGTAGAGTACAGGCGTCTTAGAAGTGGTATTTTAATGGCTTACAGTATCCTTAACACTTCTGGACATCCCCTTAAACACCTACTTAAGTTTGGCTCCAACATAAACCTATGTTGTAACACCCAGAAACTAGAGACACAACACAGCAGAACAGATTGTAGACACAACTTCTACTCACGATTGATTGGTCACTGGGTGGTGATAGTATTCGATCTGCACTGATAAGAACTTGACACACATGACATGGATCACCACCCAGTGATCAAT